AGTTCTCCTAGAAGCCCCTACCCCCATCAAGTGAGCATGGCTGGTCCTCAGGGCAGCTCCTTCCTCAGGCAAAGAGAAGGCACTGGTTTTGGTTCCGATCGTTTTCTTCACCTTGCTTCCCATGGACCATTGGGATAATGTCCAACCCCAAGCCCTGTTCCCCAAGGCCGGGGAGAAGGCAGCACTCTGAAACCTGGGCTTGAGGCTTGATCACTAGGGCTTTCCAGGGGAGAAATCTGAAAATGGCTGCACCTGAGAGACTAGATGACTAAGGAAGGAATCCAAGCAGACTGGCCATCAGCTTAGAGATTTATGGATTATGTTGCTACGGACTGAATTGTGTCTGCCCAAAATTCGTATGTGGAAGCCTTAACCCCCACGTGATAGTATTTGGAGAAGAGGCCTTTGGGAGTTAACCAGGTTTGAGAGTGGGGCCATCATGATGAGATTAGTGCCTCTATAAGAAGAGACACCAGAGAGCTTATTCTCTGCCTCTCCTCCCTCCCCCACCTCCTCTGCCATGTGAAGACACAGCGAGAAGCTGGGACGAGGGCCCTCAGCAGAACCCCACGCCCTGGCACCCTGACCTCAGGCTTCCAGCCTCCAGAACTGTGGGAAAATAAATTTCTGTTCTTTGAGTTCCCCAGTCTGTGGTATTTGTTATGGCAGCCAGAGCAGACAAAGACACTGGTCACAAGCAGAAAACAGCTCCAAAAACCACACACAGGGCAGAAGAAACAGTGAGAGTCAGACATGAGCAGACAGAGGCAGACCAGCTGGGTGTGTAGTGTAGATGGTTGAAAGCAAACCTCACAGAGCCAGATTCCCCATAGCCCAGACATCTCTGTGGGAAATTCTGGAACATTTCTTTTTTCTTTTTTCTTTTTTTTTTTTCTTTTTGAGACAGAGTCTCATTCTGTTGCCCAGGCTAGAGTGCCCTGGCATCAGCCTAGCTCACAGCAGCCTCAAACTCCTGGGCTCAAGCAATCCTCCTGCCTCAGCCTCCTGCGTAGCTGGGACTACAGGCATGTGCCACCATGCCCGGCTAATTTTTTTTATTTTTAGTGGGATCTTGCTCTTGCTCAAGCTTCTCTCGAACTCCTGACCTCAAGGAATCCTCCTGCCTTGGCCTCCCAGAGTGCTAGGATTATAGGTGTGAGCCATTGCGCCTGGCCTCTAGAACATTCCGGTTGGCCCAAGCCAGGATCCTCAAGGGGCAGCACCTCTGGACAAAAAGGACTCCAATAGCCACTCTTAGGAAAACAGCATTCAGTCCACAATACTGACCAGGTACCAACACATGCCAGGAGCTGTGCCAGGCACTGGGTACAGCTGTGACTAAGACGAACCTAGTCTGTCTTCACAGAGCTTCCCACATAGCAGGAACTACAGATATTACACTAGAAGGTTACAGATGCACCGAGCATTGCAGAAAACTCCTGTTAGCAAGAGAAAGAAAGTTTTTTCATCTTCTTCTCCACTACATTCTCTAATGAATAAAGTTTGAAATTAGATGTGAGACTCAGGAGCTAGCCAGCACTAGTCTTATGAGAGGCAACAAAACATTATTTTGAAAACGCCTGGCTGGTTGGGTGCAGTGACTCTCTCCTATATTTCCAGCACTTTGGGAGACCGAGGCAGGAGAATCACTTGAGGCCAGGGGTTTGAGACCAGCCTGAATAACATAGTAAGACCCTATCTCAAAGAAAAAAGAAAAAGCTTGACAATCCTTCATAATGGTGACTTCATGGTGGCGATTTACCCTAAATGTCCTCAAAGCTGCTCAATAATCTGTTTCAATTTCATTATCCGTGAACATCTAAATCCCTCTTGAAGCCAGGCGCGGTGGCTCACGCCTATAATCCTAGCACTCTGGGAGGCCGAGGCGGGCGGATTGCTCAAGGTCAGGAGTTCAAAGCCAGCCTGAGCGAGACCCCGTCTCTACCATAAAAAAAAAAAAATAGAAAGAAATTAATTGGCCAACTAATATATATATATATATATAAATCAGCCAGGCATGGTGGCTCCTGCCTGTAGTCCCAGCTACTCGGGAGGCTGAGGCAGGAGGATCACTTGAGCCCAGGAGTTTGAGGTTGCTGTGAGCTAGGCTGACGCCACGGCACTCACTCTAGCCTAGGCAAGAAAAAAAAAAAAGAGAAAATATAAATAAATAAATCCCTCTTGAACTTTTCCTATTTACTATTTCATTCTATTTTACCATTGCTGACTTAACACTTCTTAGGAATTCATTCACAATCTCTCCATTTTTATCTCTGTGTGGGAGAATTCTTACCTCTTCAATGTATTCTCTCCCAGAACTGCTCTTTTGCCCTCACCAATTAGCACTCCCCGGGTTTTTTCTGGCCCCATTAGGTCATTCTTGAGATGGGTGGTCAGAAGTGGTAGAAAACCTAGTTTTGTTGCCAGAGCCCTTTGCCAGAATCCACCCACATATTCCTTCTGGCCAAGAGCAGCCCCTTTCCTGCCTGTCCCTGCAGGCCCAGAAGGTCATGGCCTGGGTGCCTGCCCCTACAGGATGGACTCCTCATCAATAGCACCTTTCTTGTGCTCAGGTTTCATAGTTTGCAAAGCTCTTTCACAAGGATTTTCTCATTTGATACAACAATCTTTAGAGGTGGGCAGGATAGGATAGATATTGGTGTTCTCATGCTATAGAAAACAGAAGTTCAAATTTAATTAATTTATTAAATAAATTGCCCAATGTCATAAAACTACTAGTGGCAGATGCAGGAATTCAACTTGGGTCTCCTGGGTTGTATCTACTCATCCATCCCCACCCTTTGGCCCCAAGGCTTCATGCTCCATCTCCTCATATCTGCATCAGACCTCCTCCTTGTAGTGGTACAAACCTTGCATCCAGAGCATAGGAAGCTCCAGGGAAGAACCACTTCTTCCAGCAGGCTCAGTCCCTTGTGACCCACACCTAGGACACTGACTCTCGCAGCACCCTTCTCCCTGTGGCTCCTTTCTTCCCAAGTGATCAGAACACTTCTCATCCACTGCTGCTGCTCTGAGTAGTGACATCTCAGTGTGAGTCCAGGTTTCTTCCTAACATTAATCCATGCCCCAAACAATGCTCAGGGAATGTTCAGCAAGTTGATAGAAACTCTGCTGCCTGCTTCTTTTCTTACGCACTGCCTCACATTGTCCTATGACTCATAGACTCTGTAAGACTTGATTTTAGGCCAAATTTCTGACAAACAATCCCAACCCTTCCAATTTAGAGACTCCAATGTGACCCATTTCTTTCTATTATCGGCATTGTTTCCAAAGGGTCCTTAGTGTGTGCACCAAATACTGGAGCCTCCCCTTATCCAAGAGTGTGATCAAGACTATGATGGAGCTACAGGGACCCAAAGGTGCTTAATCCAAAAGATATTGAGGGTGGAAAAGAAGAGAGATGGGGCAGGTAAACTTTCAAGAGGAGAGTGCCTAACCCACTTCTTAAAAATGAGTAGTACTAGCCAAGAAGGAGGAGGGGAAAGGACATTCCAGGCACCTACACAGACACAGAGTGTGAGAGATGGTGGCACTTTGGGGAACTACGAGCAGTGTGGCTGGAGGGCAGGTGGGATGGGATGGGGCTGGGAGACGAGTATGGTGAAGACATGGGCCAGGTAGGGAGGGGCCTTGCAGGCAGCCCACGCTGGAGTGAGTAGACTTCACACTGAAGGAAATAGCAGCCATTGAAGAATCTTAACAAGATATGACCAGATTGGTGGAAACACTTTGGCTGCATAAGGAGAACAGGTCAGAGGGGAGCTAAATATTTTGAGAGGGTACTGCTTTAACCTGCGTGAGGAATAACAGAATTATCAAAGGATACACAGCAGCTTAGAATGTCAATGCTAGGCCGGTCACAGTGGCTCACGCCTGTAATGTTAGCACTCTGGGAGGCCGAGGCGGGCGGATTGCTCAAGGTCAGGAGTCTGTAACCAGCCCGAGCAAGAGCAAGACCCCGTCTCTACTATAAATAGAAAGAAATTAATTGGTCAACTAATATATAGAGAAAAAATTAGCTGGGCATGGTGGTGCATGCCTGTAGTCCCAGCTATTTGGGAGGCTGAGGCAGCAGGATTGCTTGAGCCCAGGAGTTTGAGGTTGCTGTGAACCAGGCTGATGCCATGGCACTCACTCTAGCCTGGGCAACAGAGTATGACTCTGTCTCAAAAAAATAAAATATAGAATGTCAATGCTAAAAGGCAGATGGATCATCCTGTCCAAATGCTCTGTTTTAGAGATGAAGTAAAGTGGCAGGGAGGGGGGCAAGGAATTAAGCTTCACTCTGCTGCCATAAATGCCCCACCTGACCCATTCATTAGTCCTCTCTTCCACACGTGTATTAGTTTGCTAGGGCTGCCATAACAAAATACCACAGACTAGGTGGCTTAAACAACAGAAATGTATTTTCTCGCAATTCTAAGTCTAGGAGTCCAAGATCAAGGTTTAGTTTCTTCTGGGCCTTCTCTCCTTGTCTTGCAGACAGCTGCTTTGGCTGTGTCCTCATATGGTCATCCTTCTGTCTGTGTGTGTCTGAGTCCTAATCTCCTCTCCTTATAAAGACACAAGTCATATTGGATTAGGGCCCATGCTAACAACCCAATTTTACCTTAATACCTCTTTAAAGGCCCTATCTCCAAATACAGTCACATTCTGAGGTACTGAGGGTTAGGGGCTTCAACGTAAGAATTGGGGAGCAAGGGACACAATTCCACAATAACAAAGTGTGTTCCTAGATGCACAGGGTGGAGTAACATGACTCTAGGCAGTTGGGAGCTAAAGGATGAATTTACAACAGAAATAGGAAGAAAGAAAAGGTAGTACAGGCAGAGGGAGGATTCCAGCAGCAGCCCTCCTGGAATGTCAGTCATATATCAAAGTCCATTGGGTCACTGAACCCACATCGTGAGCAGAGTCTCACACCCACACATGCTCCTGACACAGCACACAGTTTGCAAGACACCCCCTCAGTGGCTCACCTTTAGCTTATTATTCCTAAATCACAACATAGTCAGTGGAAAACAGAAGTGACTCCTCTTCCAGATCACTGAGGAATGTGTTGTCGCCTCATCTTAGCACTGACCCCCTGAAAGAATATCCCACCACTAAATTAGTACTCTGCAACTGTCCCCATGGCGGATTACTATGCAGTCATTATGCTGTGATAATCCCAATGACATGGGGAAATGCTCACAATACAGTGTTAAGTGAAGAGACAAAATGCAAAGTTGCATTATCACTTTCATGCTGCTAAAAATAAAGAAAGGACTGGATGACATTCCAAGAAGATGCCAATAACAATGGTCTATGAGAGTAATATATTGTTTTCCAAATTTTCTACAAAATGATGTGAAAAATGCATCTAACAAAATTTTAACCCTCTATCCACAATAGAGTCGCTCTTTTGCCTATCTTTGTATCCTGGTACAGTGTGACACTGGGGATGTTAATTCTTACAAAGTTCACTACCAAGACAAAACATGTACTCTCTTCCATGATGATTAATTCCAAAAAAAAATCAGTTGCTTACTTTTTAAAAATAGCATTCAAGTTTTATAACATTTATTTATTTTCATCTATTTATAAAATGAACTTTTTCTAGAATATTCAAAAATAGAGACAAGCACATAGAAAAAAAAAAGAAAATCACCGAACTTACTTTTGTATTTATCAATATATCACAGATATTTCTCAATATTTTTATTATTCTTTCACATCATTTTTATGACTCCCTATTATACCGTTGTATAGATATATCTTAATTTACTTAAGTCCCTTTTGATGGAGATGTAGGTAGGATTTATTTTCTTTCAGTCATAAATCAGACTATAATGAACTACAATGATAGATCAAAGCATATATCCATGATTGTCTCCATAGGATAAATTCCTAGCAGTGAAAACATGGAGTCAAACACATTGAAGATGTAGGATATATATTACCTAATTACCTTCCAGAAGTGTTGTGTACAGATTTGCCCATTCAGAGTGACTATTTTTCTCTCTAGTATTGAATGTCACAATATTTTAAAATCTTTTCCAATTTGAACAAGAGAGAAATGACATCCTATTACTTTATGTCAAAGGCTTCTTGAATGTCTAAGTAAATTTCATTCATTGGTTTGCATATGTTCATTCACATATTTACCCTCTCAAAAAGCCCATTTCTCCAAGATTCCATACTTGTTTGTTTAGTGTCTATTATGTACAAAGTCCTGTACAAGATATCTTTTCAAAATAGGTTATATTTATTTTATGCTTATTGACCCTATTTCTCTGATTCTACCAAATTGCCAAGAATTGCATTAAAATAAGTTATAGCCCATAATCACCTCTGGAACTTCCTAATAGATATGAATTCTGATGCTAATCCACTGGTTACCCAGTAACTTTGTAATTATAGGGCTCATATTTTAGCCAACAGTTCCACAATTTTACCTCTGGAAACAGCTGAGTAGATGCCATATGTTCAAATGATTTATTTACATCTAAATTGTCATTTTATTCCAGAATATTTTGTCTGTGTGTATCACCATCTGCCATATTCATCTGGATTGACAGCTACCAAAGGTAATTTAAGTGTCCAGCATCTCGTCTGAGGCGCCATTGCTAGAGTGTGTCAGAGACACTAGACAACAATCATGTGTGGAAAAATACCAACAAAAGGAAGGAAAATAAAGTTTAAGATTAAAAAATAGTAATCTATTACTATTGGAATCTGCTCAAAATCTAGTACTCAATTTGCTAGTCAGGAGTCAACGGGTTTATTTCAGCAATAGGAAAATGTCTTCAGTGTCTGGAGCATGTATTAATATTAATCACGGTCCATGCAGGAAAATGGAGCCCATGCCAGGTGGTTCAGTGGAGGTAAGTATGTACAGGAAACCAGTTATGAATGTGTTGGAAAAGTTGAGAGGTCAAACTAAGCAAAATGAGATAACCCAGAGATTTGAAACAGCAGGAAGTTGCTACAACCATATTATCAAAACCCAGAAGCCAGGACAACAGGGCAGAAGGTGGAAACTCAAGGTCCCCCCCCCCATGAAGCAGAGAAATGTGAAATGAAACACCCTGACTTCTTCTTTCCTATTTTTCTCCAACTACCACCCCCACACCCCAGGCTTCCCTTGGGTAAAACATAGACAAAAGCCAGTTGGAAAAGAAGCTTGGGAAGTACAGTCTACAGGGACATCCCTTTCGGGATACAGAGCAGAACAGGATCTCAGAACAAACAAGCATATGAGTGGCACAGTATGCCAGCAAAAAGGTAATTTTCCCAAGAGGAGGGCACTTCTTTTCTGTTCATACAAGAGAGCCCAGTGCCTTGGTCTCAAATTTCTTGCCCTTAAACTTTAGACTTCCCACAAATGGGGCCCCATACCAGCCCTAAACCCATTTGTATTTCCCACTCTTTATCTGTTTGCACTTTGACCGATGGTACTCACGTTTCATCATCTTTGTCCATGGAGGTTGATCTAGACTTTGATCAGCTTTGAACTCAGTGTCTCTTCAAAGGCTGTGGACTTTGTGCTCAAAACCAGACTTCTGACCTTTGTTCAGCCCCGTGGATCTGTCTGTATGTCCCAATTCCAGTTATTCTTTCCCCACAAAATCAATGGAACCAGAGGTCTAAGTACATTAAAGTTATAATGGCAACTAATATCTTCACTAAAACTCACGTATGTCTATCAAACGTTGGGAGGAGTAAGTGGGTAGAATAACATGAGTTATATGCTCATCAGATGCAAGAGGTTAACAGATAACATTTAAAATTGATCAATCAAGATGGAGCCATGTGAGCATATTAATTAGAGATCCGGAAGTAACCAACAGAATTAAACAGAGAAACAATAAAAAGAAATAAGCTGGTTGCCTTGGGGCAGAGGTGCTGCAGGCGGAAAGGATAGAACAAGGGCCCACTGCATTGTATGATAAGTCTTCTGGATTCTTTTGTTGTTTTTTTTTTATTACCATCACAGATTCCAGATTTTGCACTTGCTGTTCCCTCCACATGTTCCGTTCCCTCTGTTCCTTTGGGTCTTTACCCAAATATCACCTTCTCAGTGGAGCCTTCCCTGAGCACTGTATTTAAAACAGCAACCTCTCCCTCTGCTGTGTTTTATTTCTCTCCATACCACTCATCACCTTTTAACATTTATATGATATTCTTGCTCATGTTACCTCTTTTCTGTCTGGCCCAACTACAGTGTCCTCCTCAGGAGAGCAGGGGCGTTGTCTGTCTTGTTCACTGGTAAATGCCCAGCGCCTGGAACAAGGACAGGCACTAGCGACTGATTATCTGAACAAATCATGTGTGTGTGTTCGTTCCTAGGTGAAAAAGATTTTAATAGCCGACAAATACTTTAGAAAAGCTCTCACTTATTTTTGCTTGCTTGTTGTTTTGTTATGTTTCATGTTGAGGTAGTTCTTAGAGGATTAACTGTGCCTGAAGCTTTCTAAGTGGGTTATTCTTTTGTCCCTTTTTGTCCTTCAGAGAGTCCTTTGAGTCCAGATTAGTCAAGTACAAGGAATTGATGTCACCAGGCCAAAGGAAAAGAGGCTCCCCTGGGAGGACATTTCCTTGCCCATGAGGGTACAGATTTCCCAGCATGTCGCCCATGAAAAGAACCTTTAAAATGAGATCAAGTTCCAGGGAAGAATGACATCACCAAAAAACACACAATGTGTGTTCGGTTTTATTTGTTTGTTTTCTTAAAATAAACATTTCAATTATTTAGGTCTAAAAAACTAAAGAACTATAGGTTGGACAGCCTTTTGAACTATGGGTCTTTTAGATAAGGGAGTCTAAAAACTGCACCTTTCAGAGACCTCAAATGCGTTGTACTCAATGTGCTCTTATCCAATTTCTTTTGAAAAGACAAGTAATTCCTCATAAAGGAATCCTCAAATACCAACAGCATCAAAAGTGGCTGCTCCCTTCAGTCCCTTCAAAGGACTTCACCTTCGCCTTTGCTGGTGAGCCCTGTCACATCAAGAGTGAGATAATTTTATGTCAGTTTGATCGGCATGGGATGCCGCCTTGTATCTATTTGATCATTTCAAACATATTTTTATCGTATCTTTCATCTTGTTGATCTCAAATATGTGGGTTACTAATTCTCCTCTTTGGTCTGCTGGTTCTCCCTCAGGGAGTATTTCTTCCTTATGGGTCTGCATTTTTTACTGCGAGCACATTTCCAGCAGGGAGTGAGTGGGTGTGGGGTGCCCGTGGGAATGCCACGTGTCCTGTCACGGAAGAGCTGCCATGGAGAGGTCTGGTGCCTGCTTCTGCAAGTTGTGCTGAGTTGCTATCTATTTTTATGTTATCTCTTGGCTTGAGGATTCTGATACTACTTGAGTAAATATAAATTTGAACTCCACTCACACAAAGCACAAGCTGGGTCTCTGATTTCTCAAGGATAGAGAGATGTTTTAGATCACTTCCCCGGGTGGGCAAACTGCTTCTAGTTCCATTTCACTAAGAGTTCTAGTTCTCAGGTCTAGTTTCCTATCTTACAAGGGTCCAAGGCCACACCCTCTGTCCTCAAACGAACATAGATATTAAACCCCCAGCCACTAGTACCAGGGCTGTATTTCCAGACCAATGCCTTCCTGAGCCATTGGTGCAGCTCATGAACTTACACATCTGGCTTCACATTCCCTCATTGGTTTTGGCACCAAAGTAGTCCTCTTTCTTTATTTTGAGCTCTGTTATTGCATTTAAATTTGTTGTTAGATTTTTTTTGGCTAGTATTTACATGTGCTTGGGGTGAGGAAAGAAGATAATATGGAGTATCTTAGTAAGCAATGTCACCAGAACCCATGAAAAATTATTTTATAAACTTTCCTATCAAAAGAAGAGCATATATTATTTTGGCAAAACTCTTATTCTTTCCATTTCCCAAATCATTGCAGTTTGTTCTCACAGCTGAAATTCATTTATTAGAAAGTAAATCCCCTGAAACAGCAACTCAAAGTACAAAAAAAAAAGAAAGTAAATCCCCAATTGGGCACATGTGTATACAATTTTATAAACTACCTTTTCGTATATGGCTTTTATCTTGAACTATTAGACCAGTGCCATTTCCTGTATTATTA